CGCACTGCTGAGCATAGTATGATTAATGGTCAGGGTTTAATATTTCCTATTGGATTCTAACTGATTTATCATAGCTTCCTGGCAGACATGCAGCCTTTAAAATCATTTTCATATCAGCATGCCCAACCAACGTAGTAGAACGTAACAAAAAACGTCTAGGAGCCATAATTAAATTTGAACGACAACAGGATACTCATTTCAAGTAATTATTAATATCATGCCCCTCAACAGAAATTCCAGGTTTAATTTTAACTTTAACTTCTTGAGGCTAAGGATTGTGTCTCAGAGTTCTTCTTAGTTCAGGGCATAGGACAGAACATGGGATGTTGCAGCTGCTCAAGGAATGTTTCCTAAATAAATAAATAAATGGAAAATGATAGTTGAAACAATCTTGGTTTGCTTCTACCAAACCAGTAAGAGGAAGAAGCAAAATAACAAATTCTTCCTGCGCACAGTTAAGCTTGGAAATTTAATCATATAAAACAAAAACAGTGTCTTTAAGTACCATTTTTGAATGAGGAAAAAATAGAAAAAGAGAAACATAAGTTATTTTACTCTTAAGTCCAGAGACCTCATACCTTGAGAACATTTCTCTATGTATCTACAAGCTTAGATACCACTTTTGGTAATATTTTGCACAACTATGAAGTGTGCTATAATTTTGTTCTTCTTACTGATACATTTACTATCAATTAGGTTAAGTCAAGCGAGCAGCTAGGTGAGATTACAGATACGAGACCTTCAGCATATATGTTTTACAACTGTGCTTTCACTAGATTAACTTTATAAGACTTTTATTTTTATTAAATACCAGAGGCATTTTGCAATAACACGTTTAAATGATCAACAAACGTTGCTGTTCATGCAATAATACAAAAGCTGCCAAAACAGATATGCCAGTTGGCAGGAAGCACTACTATGTGAAGCCTATATCTAAATGTAAAAATATTTAGATTATCCAAAAGTAGAAATGTTCAAAAGTTGAAACTTCCTTTGACCAGTAAGATCCCACTGAGATACAGAGACTGTGAAATATCAACTTAGAATTATTGACCTAAGAACAATTTTCTTTAGGGGTAGAGAAAACATGAACCGGGGATTACTGTGCATATATATATTTTTTTGGTGCAAAAAAGCAATAAAAATGCAGTCTTATTGCTACTGTGTTAGTGCTGGTAGTACTGCAAACAATAAAAGTAAAATAACATGGTTCAAAAATGGTTGGAAAAAATCACAAGGTAAAAAGTTAAGGAAATCACACAATAGCTAGTGAATGGAACAAAGGGAACTAAGCCTTAGAATTTCTAGGATTCGCTCTCAGATACTGAACATGATAAAAGGTCTTTGAAAAGATCATAAATACTTCTCAGGAAAGTATTGTAAGAGCTTGTCACAATCAATCTACAATACTGTCTTTTTATTTAATGTACTTTTAGATTTCCTTTTCTTTTACATTACCTAGCATGCAATCTGTAAGTATTTACTGAGTAATGACCAATGTGCAGACAACATGCTAGCAGAGAGAGATTCTAAAGTAGGTAAAGTAATCTACATTCTAGAAAGGAAATACATAAATATGGAAATATTTACAACATGAACATAATGAGGTAAGAGCTTACAGAGACATATACAAAATGTATCAGGAGGATGCTTATTAATGATGAGCTGCTTTGTGTGAGGAGAATTCAAAAACAGTACTGAAAATAAACGTTTGCATATTTTTCATTAATTTAGGTGCAAAATTCAATGATCAGATTAAGATAATAATATTAGTGTCTAGTAACATAAATGTTATTATTTCAGCCTTCTGAATAGTTTTGAATTTGTCATTTTTGTTACTACTTTACTTAGTAAACTACTTTATTATTACTGTCTCACATAACTTTAAACATTTTAGCTAAACACAATTTTCAGAGCTTGACATTTATGTACTTCCTCAATTTCTAAAGCAAAGCTGAGAAGCAGCTCAGAGTGAAAAAGAGAAATAGTAAATGTTAACAACTTACCAACATTACTGAATATATCTTCATATAAGGTCATTAGGTCAATATAAAAAGTCATGAAATAATTCAAGGAATTGATAAGCAACAAGCAAGAGGAACTACACCAACCTGGAGAATGCACAGTAACACACAGAAATGTTGTGGCGATGTAAAGGACACAGCATTAATAATACAGAATGATAACCGGGAAATATTCCTATCCCTTTTGCACATAATGGACCTATTGCAAATAGTTCACAAACCTAACAAATAAATACAGTTAAGTCCTCAATTAATATTGTTAATCAGTTACTGGAAATTGAGACTTTAAGTGAAACAACTTATTGTATGATGAAATCCATTTTACCATAGGCTAATTGATAGAAACACGAGTTAAGGTTCCTACAGCTTACAGTATGTCACTTTGCTCAAAGTTGCAGTTTTCAAGAATCTACTGACAATGTTAAGATAGGACTTACTGAAGGCAGTATTTATTTACTAAGAATAAATAAACTTTCTTTTAAGAAGTATAAAGTAAAATAAATAAAATATTTGTTGCTTTATATTCAGCCATACTTTTCTACTCACCCTGGGCTGCAAGATAAACAACTGTTTGTTGTTTTTTTATTTTTATTTTTATTTTTTTATAGAAATGGGGTCTCCCTATGTTGTCCAGGCTGTTCTTGAACTCCTGGGCTCAAGGGATCTTCCTGCCTCTGCCTCCCAAAGTACTGGGATTTAAAGGTGTGAGCTGCCATGCCATGCCCCGCCAGTAAACAACTATTTTGTATGATGCTTTAAACAAAACATTTTACTAAACAAATGTTTCTGTCAAACTAATAGCAGCTTCTGACTTTTTTTTTGAGACGGAGTCTCACTCTGTCGCCCAGGCTGGAGTGCAGTGGCGCGATCTCTGCTCACTGCAAGCTCCGCCTCCCAGGTTCACGCCATTCTCCTGCCTCCGCCTCCCAAGTAGCTGTGACTACAGGCGCCCGCCACCGCGCCCGACTAATTTTTTTGTATTTTTAGTAGAGACGGGGTTTCACCATGTTAGCCAGGATGGTCTCGATCCCCTGACCTTGTGATCCGCCCGCCTCGGCCTCCCAAAGTGCTGGGATTACAGGCGCGAGCCACCGTGCCAGTCCTAGCTTCTGACTTTTAACCAACTTAACCCCCAAATACTAAGCACAGTATTGAGTTACAGATGGGAAGTCTTGCAACATGTATGCATGTGTATGTTCTAAGACTGGAGCCTGGAGAAAAATGGGTGAAATACAGAAGCCTTGCACGGAGGCAGTGTTAGGAATTTGTATCAGGCTATTATTCTGATTTTCTTCAGGGAGAAATGCAAGGCTTTTAGTTTCTATGTACCTGTAAAAACCACACTACCATACTGAAGGCAAAGAACGGTGACAAATACCATTTGTTTTCTTTGTTAGTTTAATATGTATCCTGAAACACTGAATCATTATCAGGTACACTAGTCCTAAGTAGTCCAATTACAGACAATCTATCACTAAGTCACTATCTCTATAATACCGCCTACTGACACATTTGAAATAAACTTGCAATTTTGTCTTCTACCAACATATCTAAATTTATTGAATGTAGTTTTTAAAAGGCACTGCTAAGTTTGCAGAACTATTACTGTTAACAAAATTTAAATAGAAATCAAGTATCTATGTTGAGAATGATCTCCTCCAACATCTCCCTGTAATATGCAAAATTCATCAACATCATGAAGGGATAAAAGGAAATAAGGGAGAGGAAATAAAGAAAAACCTAAAACAAAACAGAAGCCAAATTCATATCGAAGGAGAGAAGTATAGGGATTTTGAACAATGTTCCTGAGGTAGCAAAGATCTCTGGGCATTCAGAAAGGACTTCGAAAATATAAATCAACTGTAATTCATTTCCTAATTCTTCCTCTTTTCTTCATCCATTAAAAAAAGTTTTTCACAAAAGAAGCAGCAGGCCCTTTTATGACTATAAAAATGGGAAAATCATTATATTTTATTACTAAGGAGCTTGGCAGGCGAGTCTTGTCAGCCCCCTTCCATGAACCTCAATGTCCATCCTTCCTCAAGTCATGCAGAGTTACAGGGTTGGACAAAGAAAATCAAGGACTGAAAGGGCTCAGAAATAGGGTAGGAATGTCAACTACATGCTTCACTGAAAAATTTTTTAAAGGCTAGAAAATTTAATTATTTGCTTTCTAAACCCTATAAATATGCTTCTAGCTTCAACGTAATTATGTCAAACAGCAGTTTCAAAATGGCTTGATCAAAATATTCCATGACTTCTCCAAATACTCAAAACTGGAAATCTGTCCAAAGATCCATTTTTAAAATCCCCAATCTTCGTTACAGATGAAGAAATAAAAGAATGTCCTTGGGAAAACCAGTTATTCTCCAGACCTTCTTATAAAACATCAAATCAATTTATATTTATTGAATGCCTGCTACAAATGGGAAGGCAATTTTCCTGAGATTATGCTTCAGTAAATAGGAAACTTTAATGCCTGTTTCTGTGGGAACTGTAAGTATTTGGAGATACTTCCTGTCTTGATTCTCCAATTTCAGCACTACGGAGCATATGTGAGACAGGAACCATGACTCCTCAGGAGAAAAGGAAGTTTGCTTGAAAATATCAAAATAAGATTTATCTACTAAGATTTACTTGCCTTTGGAAACTGACCTACTACAAACAGAATCTATGAATAAATGGCATAAATATATTTAGTTGGTAATATCTACAAGTGAACATCCTGAAATCCGCGGTACTATAGAAGTACAACTACTGATGACTAATAAAATTAAGTTACACATTTAAAAGAAACAAAATATAAGATAGTTAAAATCAAATTATATAAAGCAACTCAAACATACAAAATGTCTACCCAATCATTTAAAATAAAGCACTTATCAGCATTACTTCCTAAGCCATTAAGAAGAAAACTGAAAAGAAAAATACTAGTAGGACACATAAGACAGACATCCAGGTTGTTAATGATTATACCTGCCATGCCGTAAGGCAAGAGGTGCACATCAAATGCCCACAAGGCTCAATCTTGACATCTTTGTCATTCTCTGCACAAATCTTACAGAGCTGAAAAGTGGAGCCCATTTCACAATATAATTCATATTGTTCCTGGAATTTGGGGGAGGGGGAAGGAAAGTAGCATTAATGTATTTCCAGCATGAATTGTTAGTATCAAATTTTCCCAAATAAAATGACACACAGTAAATATCTCACAATTGATCTTGTCAGAATTTTGTTACCATCTGAGACATGTTTTGAATTGATAATCACAATTTGGTCTACAAAATCCATTCTAAAAAGGTTTGAACTTTTATCATCTATCTTATATGCTTCTTAATTATTCATATTATTTAAGGTTCCTTTAGGAAAGGACTTGCTTCAATAGTCCTGGTGACTCAAAAGACAAAATCTATGGTTTTAAAATAGGAATATAAAATGATTTTATCTTTTTTATAAATGCCACATGCTCATATAATTTAACTGTCAAATTGAAACAAAAAAAAAAAAGGATACTTGGCTAAACATTATTTTTTGTTTCAATATCTTTAGAAATCCCAGAAGGGAAGAGAAAAGTGACAAATATTTACCAAGCATTTCCTGTATGCCAGGCACTGTGGTCCACACTTACTATTTCACTTAATCGCCAAAGCATAAGAAGATATATTGAACTTAACAAAAGTTAGGCCTGGGGCTTAATAAATTCAAATTGTTTGCTTCAAACTCTAAATGAAGTCTCTGACTAAAAAGTGCATACTCTTTCCCTAACACTGTCAAGAAAACAAATCACATCAGTAACCAAAAACCATTTTATTAAAACTGCCATATTCTTGCTTGATTAGGCTTTTAGCTTAAAACATTTGACACAGTAAAATTTTCAAAATTCAAAACATTTGACACAGTAAAATTTTCAAAATTCAAATACTGAAAAGATCTTTGTGACAAAGATACAAATAAATTGGTAAATTCGAAAAAAATATTAAAAAAATGTTAGGAATACAAAGAAAAGGAATTATGAAACCAATATTTGGGTAAATAAAGCAACTTTTAGTTCGGTAAGTGACTACAATGTGCCTGGCACTGAGTAGGATAAATAAATAACAATATTTAGTCCACAGCCTACTAAAATATACTATAATCCTGGTGAGAAAAAATATATATATACACATAAACACACGTGGATACATATGCATGTACATGCAGGTACACACATATAAACTGTGTCTACTATGATGCATGAATATACAAAAATTTTATGGGGAACTTAAGGAAAGAGACAAGAGAGAATGCATAAAAATGGAAAAGAAATAAAACTAAAGTAATTCAAAGTAAGTTATAAATTGCTGATGTCCCTGAAATAACAGGTAAGTATTCATGCTGGTTATGACTGTCTAAAGGACAAATACGCAATTATAAAAAAAATTACATTAGGCTAAAATCACAGATACAGACCTCAGTGCAACCTAAACAATAAGAATATGTATGAGTAATTTCAGGGAATGTTATTACTTCCAAAGGTTTATTTTTTTTAATGGCTTTATAAAGAGGAACTGTCTTTCCTACGTATCCTTTCACACATATTTGAAAATATGGGATCACTACATAACTTTTAAAACGGCAATCACATATTAAATTTAAAATGGCAATCATAACCGGGCACGGTGGCTCACGCCTGTAACCCCAGCACTTTGGGAGAGCGAGGCAGGTGGATCACCTGAGGTCAGGGGTTCGAGACCAGCCTGACCAACATGGAGAAACCCCGTCTCTACTAAAAATTCAAAAATTAGCCGATGTGGTGGCGGGTGCCTGTAATGCCAGCTACTTGGGAGGCTGAGGCAAGAGAACTGCTTGAACCCAGAGGGCAGAGGTTGTGGTGAGCCGAGATTGCGCCACTGCACTCCAGCCTGGGCAGCAAAAGCAAAACTCTGTCTCAGAAAAAAAAATGAAAGAAAATGGCTCACGCCTGTAATCCCAGCACTTTGGGAGGCTGAGGCAGGAGGATCACGAGGTTGGGAGATCGAGGCCATCCTGGAAAACATGGTAAAACTCCGCCTCTACTAAAAAATACAGAAAATTAGCCGGGCATGGTGGTGGGCGCCTGTAGTCCCAGCTACTCAGGCTGAGTCAGGAGAACGGTGCAAACCCAGGAGGCAGAGCTTTCAGTGAGGCGAGATGGCGCCACTGCACTCCAGCTTGGGCGACGGAGCAAGACTCCATCTCAAAAAAAGAAAAGAAAAGGCAATCGCTTATTAAATGTACATGTACAATATGTACATATAAATGGCAACGTGTATGTCTCACATAATAATGTAAAGACCACAGGAACTGAAACTTGGATAATTATAAGGTAAATCATTATCTACTATCTTTAAAAAAGCTGTAATTCTCTTGTTTTTTTCCCTCAGATTTTTATTATTTATTACACAAGGCGTGAACATGTCTCAAATATAAAATATTTTAAAACCAGACTGAATGTAAAATAAAAAAATACTCAAATTCTCCCTTCATCCCCTCCCTGATTGCTCAATCCCTGTTACCTCCTCAGTTAAATCCTTTTACCAGTTTGGTGGGTTTTTTTGATCTTTTAAAAAGTATACTCACATGTTCACATACAGCAATTAATTATGTATTTCCTTACAGAAGTTGAACATACATAATGTAACTTTACCAAATGAAATGTTACCTACTTGTACTTTACATAAATGGAATTATTTTATAGTACAAGATGCAGAAGTTCCCATGTGAGTATGTAGAGCTACCTCCCTCCTGTTGATGACTTCACACAATACAGTATGAGAATACTAGCCTATTTAATCTATTACTAAACTTCTTAGTATTTTGTAACTTTTTACTTTTAGAAAAAAAATTACAGTAAATATCTGTTGTACAGGTTTTTTTTGTGTGTGTGTAAGTGATATATATGGGATCTATTACATATATAGATGCTAAAGTGAAAAGATATTTTCACTTAGATTTTTATAATTACCGAATATCACTCTCAAGAAAGGTTTTACCAACTTACATTCCCATTCAAAATCTATGAGGTTGCTAGCAATGGATTTAGAAAAACATAACTGTTATCTTTAACAGGCTTCAATTATCTATTTGACTCTAAAATCTAAGGCATATGATTATTCTAATCTTTTTTTGGGAGCTTTCTAAACTATGGCTCTCTCCTTACATCCACCTACCTGCTCATGGATTTATTTATTTCCCCCATATAAATGCCAATACTATATGGAAAGCAAGAATTCTAACAGCATAAATTTGTATCAAAACATCTAAGAAAGTAATATAATTTCTCTTTAAACACTCTTATAATTCCTTAAGTATATTTTGTATTAAATACTTGTGCATGATTTTAACTACTGTATGAGAGTCTTATTTATTTAGAAGGCATTATGGATACTTATTTAATTATACTTTTCTAGAAATTATCCTTACCTGTGTAACTTTTATATGGTCATGAGGTGTAGGTTCACATAATCCAGTTAAATCAGGATTGTAACTCCTCCCGTCAGGATAAAGATAACTGAATTTAAACAGAAACTTTATTATCTTAAATATACAAGTTTTAATTGCATTTAAGGATATTTAATCTTTTTCTATATTCAAACATACATTTGGATGTTTCCTTTTTATGTAACATATCGATAACATATTACTTCATTATTTCCAAAATATTATGTTGTTTTTAGGACACTTAGAATGTAGAAATTATTTTCATATAAGAAATACATAATGAATATAGCCCAACCCACTAAGCAACCATTTTCAATGAAATACCTTTAATATATGTCTCTTATATAAGCTAAGAATATTTCACTGATCAATCATGTTCTATTCCAAAACACTTTGAGGATATACCTATTTGCAACTGTTACATCTTTCATCTGAGGCACAGGTAATGTTAATCACATCATTTTACACCATGCCTAATACCACGTGGAAAGAAAATATAATTAAAGGCCACAGTTCCCTTGTAAGTTATTCAAACGCTTCTGTGGTGTTCCTGTTTCTACAGTTTCCATATCTCTTCTCTCATCTTCCCCTCACCCTAACACAAACACATATGCACAAATGCAAATACACATACACATGCACATACACATTTTAAAAAATTAGAAAATGCCACATTTCCATGTTTCATTGACTTAACACTACAAACACAAAATGGTCTATAGATAGAAACAAGGTTCTATTATCAGGAAAAACTGAAATCTGAACTAAAAGTTGTAGTAATAATGCATTCTTGCTGTGTTAAATCAGAAGTTGTGCTTGTTATTCAAAAATTCATCAAAAAATAAAATTTACTGTGTTGGTAAACACTTATTTTTAATTTTAAAAAGTGGTAATGTCACTGCTGTGTTTCATCAGTTTATTAAATTATGGTTAATTCTGTTTAACATCTTTCTATACTAAATTTCTTAAATAAAATAGTAAGAATATAGTACTATAGTATGTATATTTAAAAGGGTAAAACTATAACAAATCTATTCTTTAAAGTAATAAACAATATTTATCCTCGAATGAGGTGTCTACAAACACGTTAAGTGTTAGAATTTACCCAGGAAAACCAGAAAAATGAACTTAAAGGACAGATAATTCTGACATAGTAAGGGACAAATCAGTGAGATGATTTTTTTATGATTTAGCAAAAGGAATTTACTACATCTGAGTATGATACAAATTTAGAATGTCCTTATGGGTGTGTTACAAAATTTGACAAATATTAAATGAGGAATGATAATCCAAAGAAGATAAGCAACTTTTTAATATACTCTAAAAATTGGCCATTTAAAAAAATATTATATAAAATTTTAGGTATCACATTTCAATAATATGAAGAAATTCTAGCAAGAATTCAGAAATTAAAGTTACAAAAATGAGGATTAAGGTACCATAGGAAAGGTTAAAAGTTCTTTTTAACCTATCAGGAGGTTGTTGATAGGTTAAAAAGGTACAAAAAGGACCTTTAACCTTTCCTATGGTATGCTAATCATCATTTTTGATTATTTCTGTCCTTATTACACCCAGGATATACTGCAGATGAGCGCTTTTCAATGGCATTGAAGGAGTAAAGAATGTTGGGTGGTTATCAAAATAAACATCTCTTTCAACTATGTCATACAATACTGGATTAACTATTAATATAAGGAAATACAGTGGACCCGGATGGTAGCTGGATGCAATAATATCCTATTCTGATCTTACGAGAAACCTTATCTAATTAATTTATAAATCCTATTTTATCCTAATATATTATTAAAGTTCAAAATCAACTAGCTAAATCCCTCTGGAGATGCGTGTGTGTGTGTGTGTGTGTGTGTAACTCTCAAGAGTTACTGTGCCCAGGAGTTTAAAGGCTTTGCTCCGCTGATTATAATACTAAAATTTGTGACTCTTTGAATGACATTTGAAAAACAGAAGGAATAACTCAAACAAGCTATATCAAAATTTTTCCCTCTACAGATTTGTCCATTTACCATCTACTTATAAATTCAAACTTTGAATTATATTTTCTTAAAAAAAAAACTCTGTAATCATTGTAAATCAAAATCTACACACAAATCTTTGAAGCATTAGAAGAAAGGTATAAATAACCAAGACTAGCACATTTATGAAAATCAGAAGGAAAAGGAAAGAGAAATACACATTTGGTACCATAACTTGCCATACAATTACTACATAACTAATTTATTGAAAGGTTTCGTGTGTGTGGGTTTTTTTTTTTTTTTCTTTCCAGATAGGGTCTCACTCTGATGCCCAGGCTGGAGTGCAGTGACACGATGTCGTCACTGTAGCCTCAACTTCCCAGGCTCAGGTGATTATCCTATCTTAGCCTCCAGAGTAGCAGGGACTAGTCACGCGCCACCATGCCCAACTAGTTTTTTTTGCATTTTTTGTAGAGATAGGGTTTTGCCATGTTGCCCAGCCTGATCTCGAACTCCTGAGCTCAAGTGATCCTCCTGCCTTAGCCTCCCAAAATGCTGGGATTACAGGAGTAAGCTACCAGTCCCACCCAAAAGCTCACAGGTTTTTAAAAATTCCTACTTTTTCTTTGCATAAATCTCATCACTTTTTTTCTTTTCTTTCTTTCTGTTTTGCAATTACTTTGAGAAAGGTAAAACTCAAATCATTTGCTCTTTGTTAACTCTGGTGGACTTTCTTCTGCTAGGTTTCAGAATTCATACTGCAGTGAGTTTGATCATGAGCATCTCTGAGTTACCCAGCAAGGCAGAGGGGAAGAAAAAGCAGCATGATCAAGTGCACTGAGAATACAAGGAGAGGACAAAGGGAGTGACATGTGAATAAAGCAAAGAAGAACCAGACATATTTACTATTAAGGGACCCAATAGATTGTCCATACTTTGTGTGTCGAGGGAGTGGGGAGAATTCATTAATTTAAAAAACAAAGGGGAACTTATTTATTTTTAAATTTTAAAAAGGAATATAGCCTGAGATAAACTAAACTTAGCTATTAACACATAGTCCTAGAATATGGAGTTATTATCAGTGTGAATGAAGGAAAGATCTACGAGAGAAAAGAAAAGGAAGGGGTGGAGGGAGAAACAGATAAGAAAGAGAAAAGAAAGTCTGGCACTAACAATCAAACTTTAAAAAGTGAAACTGGCCGGGTGCGGTGGCTCATGCCTATAATTCCAGCACTTTGGGAGGCTGAGGCGGGCGGATCATGAGGTCAGGAGATCAAGACCATCCCGGCCAACATGGTGAAACCCTGTCTCTACTAAAATACAAAAAAACTAGCCAGGCATGGTGGCTCATGCCTGTAGTCCCAGCTACTTGGGAGGCTGAGGTAGGGGAATCCCTTGAACCCAGGAGGCCGAGGTTGCAGTGCCAAGATTGTACCACTGCACTCCAGCCTGGCAACAGAGTGAGACTCCATTTCAAAAAAAGAAAAAAAAAGTGAAACTAGTAATCTAAGGGTTATATGAGGAAAAAGAAGTCAATTATTCTAAATAATTTAAAATATAAACAGTTTTACATCCATTTTAAAACTACCTTTAAGTCCCAACTTTTTATCATACGAAAGATAAAAATTCATGTAATTTGAAGTTGAAATGTATTTGCTGTAACATAGTTTCAAATAATTAGGTTACCTTAAAATGACTATATAAAGAGATGAACAACAAACTAAGGAACATCCATTATTTCTCAGTCTTAAGATTAAAAAGCAGCCTCGCTATCCATTTTCTCCATCACAAAGCAATCTTTATTCTTCAAATTCATGAATCATAAGCACTCCAACTCCCATTTCTCATACTTACAATCCTTCCCTGCTGCCATCGATCAGGGCTTGAAATAAGGGCTTGTTATGAGGTATGGTCTGTAAGATATTCCCATCCCCAGTCACATAGCCAATGGCCCACTGTCCCAAACGAGTGCAACTTAACCGGAAAATATAGCTGCAAAACATAAGAAAATTATGTTTAATTTAATTCAGAATGTAAATCAATACTAAACAATTTGTTAGGGTTCCTTCAAGCAAAACAATAAACAGAATCATTTAGAATTCCTGAATACTCCTCATATTCTAACTTCTAATTTATTTTTAACAACATTGTACTTTTCCATTTATCAATTTAGAAGAGAAACACTGATCATTACTTTTTATTTAAATACTTCCAGATACATATATAAGAAAATAAACAAGATTGTAAACTATCCAGGGATTTTTTTTTTTTTACCATCATCAGGGTGCTGTGTATGGAAGTGTTGATGGCATGGAATAGTTACAAAATAAATCACTCTTGGAATGTAAAAACAAAATAAGTGAAAATTTAAATTCAATTTGCTTACCTCAGAAAAAAACTGAGCCAGTTTCTACTGTAGAACTCGATATATTCCTTTGTAATTTAGACATTAAAATTAGTTTTGTTTGTTTGTTTTTTGAGACGGTGTCTCTGTCGCCCAGGCTGGAGTGCCATGGCGCGATCTCGGCTCACTGCAACCTCCGCCTCCCAGGTTCAAGCGATTATCCTGCCTTAGCCTCCCGAGTAGCTGGGACTACAGGCGCGTGCTATGATGCCCAGCTAATTTTTTGTATTTTTGTTGTTGTTGTTTTTTAGTTTTTCAGACAGAGTCTTGCTCTGTCGCCCAGGCTGGAGTGCAGTGGCGCGATCTCGGCTCACTGCAAGCTCCGCCTCCTGGGTTCACGCCATTCTCCTGCCTCAGCCTCCCAAAAAGCTGGGACTACAGGTGCCCGCCACCACGCCCTGCTATTTTTTTTGTAGTTTTAGTAGAGACGGGGTTTTACCGTGTTAGCTAGGATGGTCTCGATCTCCTGACCTCGTGATCCGCCCGCCTCGGCCTCCCAAAGTGCTGGGATTACAGGCGTGAGCCACCACAACCGGCCAATTTTTTGTATTTTTAATACAGACAGGGTTTCACCTGTTAGGATGGCCTCGATCTCCTGACCTAGTGACCCACCCGCCTCAGCATCTCAAAGTGTTGGCATTACAGGCGTCAGCCACCGCGCCCGGCCCGCTTTTTAAAAAATAGTAACATTTCTTTCAGGTATTCCAGCCATTCATCCCTAAGGTTCAAAAGTGCAAACTAGGTAATTTCATGACTGCCATCTAACCATATCAAATTCAGTATCTTACAATGGGAAGTTAAGATAGTTCAAAAAGATAAATCAAATCAAATCCCTTAAAACTAATATCCAACAAAAGGAGACAGCAACTTGGCTTTAAATCCATCATTATCATTTATGTATCAATCTAGCTGTCTATATACTTATTTCATTTTAGATCATTTCTCTTTATTTGAGTGTACTGCATTTAATCTTTCTATCAGGATACCCTTCTGGATTTTATTACCCCATTAAGCAGATCAAAAACAAGCCAATTTAAATCTGTTGTCTGTATTTTAATACTCTAGCTGCTGTATGTATGTGGCAGACACAAGTACCTCAAAATATACTTTAGTTATTGATAGACCAAGTACTACAAATGTAACTTTAAAGATATACATAATGGCTGTAGTCACTGGATTTAATTAACTTGTATATTTAGTAGTAGAGTGTAATTTCATCTTTTGACAAACTAGAATTTTTAAAAAAGAAGTGATTTTTAAATATTAAAAAAATTATATTGGTGATAGAATCTTTGGAAAGAACTTTTCAAAAAAGTCTAAAAACATATATCCCTAGACAAACTGAAAATAGGATATCAATCTGTCGATTATTGGCATTCTTAATCAAAATCAGATAAAATAATGCCACTGAGACTTACGGCTATGATATTATGAGAAGTGCCAAAAATAATAGAAAGTCACTATAAATTATAATTCAGAAGGACATTATTAAACTGTTACACAAAAAATTAATATAAAATTCCTTCAAATTAAATCAAAAGTTAGAATCTTAAAAATCTGTGTACTATGAATCTCAGCAAAATTTATAGAGTATATTAACATGAAGAAAATAATTACAAATCTGCATTGCTAGTAATTTTAAATGTAATTCCAAATTTATTCGTCTACTAAGAATCTAGTAGATACTGAAATACATACTTGTGAAATTGCTCAGATTTTTAATTCATGTCCTTTTCTATTGCTCTAAACATTGTTTTGGGATGGTGTTTCTAAAACTCATTACTACACAGAAGGTTCAAGCAATTCATGTATATAAGAGATAGTAATACCAGCAATCTGGTAAGAGCCAAGGGCATTTTAGAACAATTTCTTCCTCTCATGCACCTTTTTCCTATCCCATTTAATTTGCTGCTGACCCTTTGGCTTGTGGCTACCCCTTCCCAACCTCAAGTGAATTATTGGCTTATTTTTAGCACCCTGCTCTCTTAAACAGCATGCTTAATTTAATCAAATTAGGGGTAGGTGTGGTGGCTCACATCTGTAACCCCAGCACGTTGGGAGGCTGAGCCAGGTGGATTATTTGACACCAAGAGTTCGAGACCAGCGTGGCCAACATGGCAAAACCCCATCTCCACTAAAAATACAAAAAAAAAAAAAAAAATTGGCAAGACATGATGGTACATGCCTGTAGTCCCAGCTACTCAGGAGGCTGAGGCATGAGAATCATTTGAACCCAGGAGGTGGAGCTTACAGTGAGCCAAGATGGTACCACTGCACTCCTGCCTGGGGTGAACACAGTGAGACTGTTTCAAAAAAAAAAAAAAATACACACACACACACACACACACACACACATAACTGAGGTATCTTTCATGTTGACAAGGTGGTTTAGGGTTCAATGCCACTCTTATCACCTAAAAAGCCACTTAATGAATATTTCACTTAGATTCCCAAATGTTACTACCTTCACCCCGTAATTCATATTTTGTCAGATGGATCCCTAATAATAAAGCACAACCTAAGGAGCCAAAATGTCCCTGAAGTAAATCCAATTGTTTTCTATACTATGAAGTCAAAGACACGAATTACTTTCCAAGATTAAAAAAAAAAAAAAAAAGTTAAACGCAGATATTCTCCAAAGCAAATATTTGTTACAATTTTTTTTTATTCATTAAGGGTGTTTTCCTAAACACATCTTTAGTACCCACATCATACTTTACATATTATAATTTGTTATATATTATTTATTTCATCATTAGCTACCTAAAATTTAATAGAAAAAATCATTACATGGCAAGTTAGGAAGGAAACAAAGATTTTTTTTTTCAGAGGACACTATTCTAGTTTTTTAATGTATGATTGATACACAAAAAAGCTGTATAAAAGGTATATACTGTACACATTTGAAGATAAGTTTACTGGTGGGTCTTATGACAAATATTCTTAGCAGAGGGCAGTAGTTTTTTATTAAGAGAACTTTTCCAAATAGTAATGAGATCTGGCTGTTTTTCTCAACATTGTAATTCATGTTCTCCATGATATTGAACAAGTAAACAAAACCAAAAATAAAGGCCTCAGTTTCCTCATTATTTCTATAATTGGACAAGATAATTTATCAAATAACTCACATGTTAAGTTTCTATGATTGCATAATTCCAACCACCACACATTTTTCAAATTATACTCCAAGCGCAAGAAAGATACTTCATATGACGTCATTCAAGAGAGTAAAAATTATGGAAAAATCTGGTCATAAGAGATTGTTGAATGAAACAAAATCATTCATCTAAAACATTGTCAACATGCAAAATAACTGATCTGCTCTCATGGTCACAATGAGAACTAACTCTCCTTAGTCTAAATGGAAGATTTCAGTGGAAGCCAAACTGTTTTTGTACTCACTAGCTTCTTTTTCAAATATACTATATAAATTCTTAAAAAGACAAAAACATGGAAAGTTTCATTATGACAGAGAACAAAAAATCAGCACTATTGGCTTGTACTAAAAAAAAAATGTTTTGGCCGGGCGTGGTGGCTCACACCTGTAATCCCAGCACTTCGGGAAACTAAGGCGGGCAGATCACGAGGTCAGGAAATCAAGACCATCCTGGACAACATGGTGAAATCCCGTCTCTACTAAAAATACGAGAATTAGCTGGGCATGGTGGTGCGTGTCTGTAATCCCAGCTACTTGGGAGGCTGAGGCAGAAGAATCGCTCGAACCAGGGAGTGGAAGGTTGCAGTGAACGGAGATCGCGCTATTGCACTCCAGCCTGGCGACAGAGCAAGATTCCATCTCAAAAACAAAGCAAAACAAAACAAAACAAAAATGTTTTAAAGTACAAACATTATATACAGCACAAATCAAATAAAAATGATACTAGAAAAAAAAAGGTACACTTAAAAACTACCACCAAATTCATCCCTAAAATGAAATGTTCTCTATATGAAAATCAGTGCACTAATGAATACTGGAATAGCATCTGAAATGTGAGAATTCTGACAAGCACGTCTCTAATATCCCTATTGCTGTACTCAGCATACTGCCTGCCATAGCACAAATGCCTACTATGTGCCTAATGAATTTTTAGATGAAATACATGGGAAAATGCACTGAACCATGGAAGAGAGAGATTTTCTGGACCCCGATTTGCCATTAATAAGGTGTAATTTCTTGGCCAAAGCCACAGGGGCTGACCGACCTCTCCAAGGTTCATTTAGCTTCATCATTTGGAAAATAAAATATAAATTCTGAGGCTACAATAAAACATAAGGCATTATGAAAAAAGTTTTCAAGGACACGAAATTGGTTTTGATTATAACAATAGGTCTATATATGCTATGTACATACATTTATTTGTTCATAAACTTACATTTATATTTCTGTGTTCAGGTGCATGTATATGTACTTGTATTTATCAGAGAACTTAAATGAATGTCTTTAAAATACCCCAAAGTAACGAACATAAGACTGTTCCATTTATTTGTTCTTTAGCACAGTATTCAAGTATTCAAATATATACATACAATTTTGCACATAAACACAGATATCATGAAAACAGAAAGGAGACCACATCCCCTTTCACTTTATGAATACTAAGTTTCAGAGTAAGCACAATGTATCAATTTAAAGGATTAGATTAAGAAGCACCATTTTGGTCTTTTAGCTTTTCTAGCCCCCTCCCAAGCATGCCATCAGTAGGTGTTGCTGACTAACTTAGGAACAAACCATGGAGAATTTTCATCTTTGGATATATCACATAATATTACTGCTAAAAAGTCTTACCTTCCGGGTTTGGTGCTGTATTTCTGTAGTCGTGCTTTAACTTCATCATACGTGAGAAATGCCATGTAACCTGGATGTGTCACAGCTAAGAAATTCCAATTCCGCAAAATAGAGCCCCAAGGCTAAAAAATAAATAAATTAAAAGAGATTATCTAGAGAATATCAAATATTGATTACATACTGAACCATCATTTAATACATTTAACATTATCTTGGATATTTTAAGTTAATCTGACCTTATGTGGTTTAGGTCAACTTTTGTTACCTATCAGCAGACATTCAAGTCTATTGTTCTTTAGAGAAATATGATTAGGTAGAAAACAGATTTTTCAGGAAGAGGATACGGAGAAGAAAAAAGAAAACCACAAAATCTCTTCTCTACACAGTCTATTCTCACTACAGCACTTGTGACCATTTTAAAACATAAATGAAATAATTCTTCTGTTCAAAGCCTTCTACCTTGAATAAAAGCCAAAGTCCTCATATATTGCTTAGAAGGACTTTACAGGGTTTGCTCCCCAGCAGTTTCCCTTTTTGTCTCCATCTGCTATAACTCTCCCACTTTCTCCATCTTCTCCAGCCTGCTATTGTCTTGAACACAAATGCCCTCTTTCCTCTTACAGTCTTTGTATTCGCCGATGCCTTTACTTGAATTTTCTTCCCCCAAATATCCATCTCATTCCTGTCTCCAAATGTCACTTCCTCAATGAAGCCTTCTCTGACCAGCATATTTAAAACTGTTACCTCTTGCCATATTCCTCACCTCCGTGTATGTGTGTTTCGTTAACAACTGCTTCATTTTACAGAGTAAGAAACCATATCATAGAACTTACATGACTTGGCAAAGGTTACACATTAACCATAAGCTACATAAGGACAAGGAACATGCCTGTCTTGCTTGCCCATGGGATGCCAGGACCACTGCAGCATCAGGTAACAGTAAACAGCCAAGGATCAATGTCACTGAACAGATCCTCTAGTGACTTGTGTAAAAGGCTAGTGTTAACACTACTGTAGTCACATCTGGCTTAACTTTACATAACTATAAACTTAGGAAAGGTTTAGGGTTTAAAAGTGAGTTACATAAAAACAAAACCTTTCGCATAAGTATTTGGTTTATACCATTGCATCATTCTCTCTTTAATCTGATTGGTTGTCTGTCCAGCTACCAGGGCAAGAGAAAAAAGGCAGGCAGTGATAGACAACTTTACTCAAGGGTGTGGATGAATCATCTCTGTAATTTTTTTAAGGCTGAAGCTACATTTATTCCAAGGAACTGGCAGCATACTCTATCTGATGTGCCAGATTATTAAATCTTCTACATAAAAGAAAAAAAAAAAAACAAAGTATTTTTACGTTGCCATGTTAAAGCTGTTAAAACAGTTATTCTAGACATGATTACTGGTAAAAGTTCCTGCTTTTGTTTGTTTTGAGACTTGTTCCTCATTATTGTTAAGCAAGTTACAAATTTATAAGTCAGAATTCTTCAAGGAGTATAACCCTTGAGATGAGGATAACAAAGAATGATTTAGTAATAATAAAGATTTTAGCCTTTTTCAACATAACAAGAAAAATCTTCGGGGTATTTCCCCATCACACTAAAATACCAAATTGGGCAAGAAAGGCGCTCTAGAGAATAATAATATGAGAGGCTGAAAAAAATGCATGTTTTTAATTTTCTCCCTAATGCATGACTAAAAAATTGCATTAAACATTACTTAGAAAATGTCAGTATGTATTTTTAAAAACTGAGCAATAACTGTTATTCTAGACCCTAGTTTTTGTTTTGTTTTGTTCTACCCATCTATAAAGGACAAGGATGAAAGAAATATCAAACAAATATTTGGGTCACTTCCATTAAAGTCCACGCAAATTAGTGGAAGAGTGGTTGAAAAAAAATGCTGAACTTTATAGAGCACCAGTGCACAGATCAAAATATAAGTAAAAAAATTAAATTGGTGTTTTGAGCCAACTGCTACAGTATTTAGCAACCATTTCTTAGTACATAATCCAGAGGGCCAGCTTCTAATTGCAAAAATATTTATGTAATAGAATGAGTCTGTGTATTGTTTTTCTTGTATGCAGCCCACTCAAAACAGAAACATGCAGTACTTATGTGCTTTTTATTTTTAAAGTATTTCGATGACTACTGGCTTAAAAAAGGCAAAACAAAGTGTTTTGGAGAATATATTTTTTTTATTTTGCTTTTCAGATTAAAGAAATTTTTTCATATATAAGAACATAAAATTATCTAGATATTTTAAATGACTATAGAAATTAATGAAGTGAATAAAGGAGACAAGTCCCTCCATTCTCTCAAATGCTACTATTTTCAAGAAGAGCCAGTTACTGACTTACAGCTTAAGTTGGAAGAGGGTCCTCGGCTGGTCTGCCTAGATACTCTCTTTAATTCTTTGCTACAACTGAGGACTTTCCTCTTCTTTGATTTTCCTCACTATTCCATTGATGCTACATATTCCACGGTCACTAGGATATTCTACTAAAATACTCCATCCTTATCCTGCTACCCCCAAATTTAGTGCCCCATTTCTCAGTGACCCCATTTTTTCTAATAGTGGAGATACAGAGGAAAAGGAGAACAACAGCCCCAGGGAGAAGGAAGAGAGAAGCAAAATCCCTATAATTCCTTTCCAGGACAGTAGCATGTGCCGATTCCAGCATCTCTAAGTGACTTTGAGAGAAAAGAGAAGGATAAAGAAAAGGGAAGAAGGAAGAAGAGGAAATGAGGAAGGTGACCACAATAAGATTCCTCCAGTGACTCCCAAGTATTTGTTCAGGTTCTGCCTGCATATAAGAATGAAAGCCAAGAGGAAGCAAACCTTTTTACTTCTTTCATTCCCTCTGTAATTCTCAACTTCATCTCCTGCCCCCCGCTGGCTCCTTCTTCAAAACCTTCTGCTAGTTTCTCTACTTCAGACCCCATATTCTAAAAGTGTACCTTGCTCACTTTCAGTTCCCATTCTGCTAAATATCCCACTCCCAATAATTTGCAGTCAGAAGAAGTCACTGCCAATTAACTACTGATATCATGGCTGTAACTGAATGTATGTTCCTGCAGTCACACAGTATTAGCAAAACATATGTTCATACATAATATATAAATGTAAGGATTTAATGAATACATTTAAGAAAATCACTTAATTTTTAAAGTTGTATAAAAAGATCAGCAAAAGTTAAACCATCTACTTCTCTATACACAGAACCAATTTTATCATATTTTAAGGCACACATACGATTATATTCAAAGCATTTGATTGGAGTATAGAAATAAACAAATGATGAATCTCAGAAATACACAGGGGCTAAACAAGAGTTCTTCAGCTCCTTCTGTAATCACATTTTTAAAATGATTAGGAATTCCCTGGCCCAGGTAAGATTTTCATTTTACGATCTAAAACTTTTCACAGTAGCTTGACTTAAAAATAGCCCTTTCTTTTCCCATCCCAGTGAAAGTAAATAAGATATATATTCCTTAGAGTATCAAGGCTGACTTGTGCTATTTTAAAGTAAAACAGCTTATAAGAAAATATGTCCACATATTAAATAGCAGTTTAGGTAAGTGTTTAACCAACATTAAGTTGCCCTCATACTTTTAATATATAACGCCAGGGAATTCTAGCATTTAATACCCACAGTAAAAAGTCATCCAGGCTCACCACAAAAATATACTCACTTCCTAGAATGAGCAGTTAGGTTTAATGTAGGAAGATTACTTTTACTCTCTTCCTTGACAAGGTGAAGAAGCAAAGCTCCTACTATTTAGAATCTCTTTGTATCATGTTAAATAAATAAGATATTCTGTAAAATTATCAGAAACCTTTAAAGAAAGGAGAGGTTCCATTATAAAATGACCAATATCAGATAACTTTTTTTTCTAAAACAGATCTTAAAATCTTTGAAAAACGTAAACTGTCAAACTATAATATATACACCAAGGGAATAATCATGAATTCAAAAATTTAAAATAATCAAAAGCACACTTCATCAGTGATTTATCTAATTGCTTAACCTATATACAAGGTAGAATTATGATTCTGAAATTGTAATACAATGAAATATATCCTGTATTTTTTTTTTTTTTTTGAGACGAAGTCTCGCTCTGTCGCCCAGGCTGGAACGCAGTGGTGTGATCTCGGCTCACTGCAAGCTCCACCTCCTGGGTTCACGCCATTCTCCTGCTTCAGCCTCTCAAGTAGCTGGGGCTACAGGCGCCCACCACCACCACATCCAGCTAATTTTTTGCATTTTTAGTAGAGACATGGTTTCACATCCTATGTGTATTGTTGACAGGAGTTAATCTCTCTTCGATTAATGGCTCCTTCATAAATTAAAAGCTAATCCTGTGCAATGTGGTTTTTGTTACATAAACTAGTCATCCAATCCTCGCTAGCTAGTGCCAAGCAGAATTAAAGATCAGAGAAGTAAAGTTCATGTAGCATGAAAAACATGAAACCAGTATTATACTCTGACATTTGTTGAAAGCATGTGTCAAAGAGAATAAATTTTGCTTCAGATTAAAATGATAAAAAATTGTATCAGAATATAAGTAAGCCCAGTCTGATCAACTTACCTCATTTACTATATAATTTATGTTACTAAATCATAAAAATGTTAAGCAGAAAATTTTTATTTTGTGACTACTTGAACTGAATCCGATAGATGATATACATTTTAGTGGCAGAGGCAAACTCAAAACACAAATTTCAAGTCTTCATGTTTAAGGTAATTCCATTAAGGCATGCAAAAGAAGAAAATGATAGCACCCATATAATGCTACATTCTTCTAATTTGCTATGTGAAAACAATTATGGAGGATAATTTAAAAGGAAAAACAATAAGCATAATAAAAATGTTCATCTTAAAGTTGTTTACATTAGAGAAAATGCAGGTAAAAATCTAAATTTTTCAAAAGAGAGCTTTGTTAATACTGACATACTATTTTGAATGAATATGACATAGGAACTTAGGAAGAATATTTATTGACACTGAAAAATGTTCATTACACATGGTTGAATGTGCAAAGCAATTTATAAAATAAGTACAGGACACAAGTTCTGTTCTATACAGAACAGTCTGGCATTTCTAAGTTTACTATTTCCCTTTTAACCTAATAAACGCAGAAGGCAAAGGGAAAGATTTTAGATCTAGCTGGAAAATGCCCACCTGCAGTTGTTGCATTCTATCCATCATTGTGCTAAAAGATCAACAAAATAAAGTGAGAAACTAAGTAGAGAGTTTAAAACAAAGCTCTTTTGGATGGATCCTCTCAAAGCTGACAAGCAGCCACCAGGCTCACAGCATCCGATACCCCAAACTTAAGCCAAATGGCTCACTCTAAACTTTTAGCAATGACCAAACATACCAATAAAATTACAGACTAATAGTAATGACACTATTTTCCATATGTTTGTTTATATGTGTGTGAGAGAGAGAAAAAGAGAGAAAAGAAAGGGAGAGAGGAAGGGAATGGATAGACTAAGCAAGTATAAACTTACCTGAAACAGCCTGGTAAAAATATCAAATTCAAAAACTGAAATGTAATCATTGCAAGTTAAATCAATTGTTGATTTTAGAGCCATTGCTTCCAGGCCAGAGCTAATCTGGTGGACCTCATGAAGGCACTGTCTGAATACTTTCCATGGTACGATAGTTCTGTGCAAGGTGGAAAAAAAGGGAAATAATTGAATCAAGTGTCATTTAAGAAATACCTCCCTTTGAAGCAGCAAAATTCAATAATAAAATTAATATAATTGTATTTGTACTACCAGACAAATATTTGAGAATACTGTTCATATTTCAGAACAAGTGTAGTGGGTTCTGTTTAACTCAATTATTTTGCATTTGCTAAGAATAAGACAAAAATTTAAATTAATTTTCTCTCAAACAGTCCTAGGATATCAAGATAGCTATAGAAACACATCTAAAAAAAGGTATTAGGTCAAAGTCTTATGTGTCATGACCTCTTCATGTGTGTATACAAGGTTATTTAATAATGAATCAAGATTTAATTCTCATTTTCTAAAAACAGTCGTAAGATGATGGATCCATATAATATATATCCTTTATTCATTGCACAAATGAGTAATATGTATTAGCCAATTCAAGAAGACTAAGATGGAAAGCCATCAAGACATTTCTGCCACAACCTTGATGTTTTCTGCAGAGATGAAAAGCATATGTTATCTAACTTTTCATATTAATACAAAAGAAAAACTTAATTTTTTAAACCAACCACAATGGTTATATCATGGGATTTTATTCAACATTTATTTATTACTTTATTTTGACTAAATATCATTCAGTAAAATTTTAACATGTTATACAGTTACATGATTCAAAAAACTTAGAAGAGCAGAATGGTAACTAGGGAAACATCTCTCAACCTCTCCCCATCTGACCAGTTTCCAACTGACCTACCCTCTTTCCCACCATGAAAATTAGTGACACCCAGGATGCATTTCTTAGTTAACCTTCCTGCTTCAGAATAATGCCTATTTCTAACTTGGCAGAAGAAAGAAATCATTCAGTTTTTAAAATTTAAACTACAATTTTTACAACAGAATAGCATAAAAGCCGTCCCTCTTATAAGATAGCATCCTCTTGTAAGATAGCAAATATTTAAATCTTAGGTTTTCTTTACCAGTATCTCTGAAATACAAGAATCAGGCAGAATAAACTAAATTGTGCCTGGCCCCATTCTGTATCAATCCACTCAATGAGATATCACCATAAAGGTACAACTTGATATTCAGTAATTTTCTGCAGCAGTGGTTGTCAAACTTCAGCATGCATCCAAATTATCTGAGGCTTGTTAACATAGCCTGATCCTCAACCCAAGATACTATGTTTCAGTAGCACTGGGGTGGGGCCTGAACATTGACAGCTATAAAATGTTCCCTGCAGCAGCTGCTGCTGCTCTAGAGACAACACTTAGAGAGCCTACTATATCTACTCATTGCTAAAACAAGGCACTGTTGGGGAAATACAATTATAGAAATAAAGATAACATCTTTGTCTTTGAAGAACACACTTTAGGGATAGAAGTAAAACCTGTAATGCTAAAGAATCTAGAGTTGGGTATATAAGGACATGCAAGCTGGGTGACGGATACACAGCAAGGGCTGGAGGGATTCCAGAGAAACAGTCTGTGGGAAGTGGCATAAATTAATGGTGATACAGATTATATGCTGTATAATTTATAAGAGAGTTTAGGTTTGAGGTACCATTAAAAGAAAAATATGAGGCTTCATACCTCAAAAAGTTTTTCTCTATGTATGAAAAAAACAGGAAACCACAGAGAACTGAGGAGAGATACCACATCAGATGCCATTTAGAAGAAACACACGTCAGGCTCTGATTAAGGTTAACAAAATGCTGCTGTTTTAAAAACACAAGGAACACTTTTAAGAATATTAGGGAGCTGTTGATTTACAATGAAGTATAAATATGCGATTATGTCCAGCTTCATTATAATTACCATGAAACCAATGTCTAAGAAGTACATTTTTCTTTTCCAAATTAAAGTTTCAAATACTCAGAACACAAAAGGGACATGGATCATGATATTCAGAGAGTAAAAAAATATGATCAGAGAACCCGTGACTTCAGAACAGTATAAATTTTATTTTTTGTATGAAGAAGTTAAAGCATTTTGTTTCATATATAAAGTATACAACATAAAGTGGTCAAACTGTAAATATTTATTTTGTGTATAACATATAAAAAGTTTTTTTAAAAAAGGCCAAATAGACACCTTCCACATCTGTTACTATAAAAATGATTCTAATCTAGTATGTACAGTGAATTCAATTCATAATTCTTTTGAGCACCTAGTGATTTCCCAGAGCCAGTTATACGAGATGTATGAACTTAAGAAAATTTTGGTCTTATGTACCCCTTCATAATAATAATTTACAAAAGGACAAGTTACATTTCCACAGTACTTGTGTAAATGAAACTTTGTCAGATTACTCGTGATAAACCTCGAACCCAAAGAGGCATTCACTGGAATCTTAATTAGTGGTAGTAACAGGGATTAGGAAGCCAGGGCATTATTTTGTTAACTTTTCATATGTGAATGTTTGCACAACAGATACCCCTCCTTTGATCACCTCAGCAAAACACCCATTATTGTGTAGGAGGTGGGGGTGGGGAACAGAGGTAGGGGGAAGGGGATTTCAAGAATGAAGAATAGATATAGAGTATGACAACAAAGTCTTTAAAAACAAACAAAAATTAGATTATTCTCAACTGTTACACTAAGGCTCTAAACTTTCTTAAGACTAAGTGGCTACCATTCTTTTTTGAGGTGTATGGGAGGAAGGGAACCCAGAGAGCATGAATTTTCACACTTCTATTTAAACTTCTGCAAAAAGACAGCGGTTTCTACTACCTCTTCCTTTAGAGATGAAGCAATTATCTCTAATATGAGAGAAAATATTAATGAGAGAAAATATTAATGAGAGAAAATATTAATGGCAAATTGTTTTACAAATGTAGAAATTTTAGGGTGCTGGCAGAGACCTGGGAAGAAGTAAAGGGAAGAGAGAGAGAGTGAGAGAGAGAGATATGAAAGGGCCAACTAAACTCCAACTTTTCACTAATCCAAAAATCTTTCAATATGTCCTAGTTGACCCTTACAATTATAAACCACTTAAGTTGCAGGCTGAATTGCTTTTAAAATACAGTGGAAAAGTATAAATAACTGTCAATCTACAAAGAATAGAATACACATATAATTATATGAGTAATAATATAATTTCAGGATCTTTTTATTTCAAATAAGAATAAGAACTGCTATTTATTGATGGCTTACTACCATTTATCTATTATATAGCAATCTATTGATGACTTTTTGTTGAAGTGATAGTTCTGTTCATATAATGTCATGAGACATAAGAATATGACAAATAAGACTATGTTATAATCCTGTTATTAGATAATGAGTTCTAGCCTGTCTACCAAAAAAAAAAAAATAGTAATCTTCTCTAAAGTCTTGAAACACAGTATCCTTTCAAAGAAAATGGGATTAATCAGATGCAGGGAAATAAATCTGGAAAGGTGTCAGCTGGTCAGTAGTGGCCAGATCACTTAATCTTCCAGGCTGGTTTTCTCCTGTGTAAATGTGGAGAAGTGTATTAGATATTCTAATTTGAAAATCCTGCAATTTTAAGAAAAAGGTAAGAGGAATGGAAAATAGAAAGTGTGAGGAGGATGATTTTTTTTTTAAAAAAGGTAAAACATTTTCATGAAACCACTAGTTCATAAAAGGTTAAGGGTTTTAGTTTCAACTGATAGGAAAAACAAAAAACATTTCATACAATACAGGGTGAATATCAACAGAAGCTAGGGTGTTTGCAAACAGGAATTTTGTATACTACTGGTGTGAATGAGAATTTACGCAGCACTTCTAGAAGGCAATTTGGAAACAAATTTCAAAAGCCTATACATTATAACTAAGAACATCAACTTCTAGGGATTTCACCTAAGGAAATTATGTCCAAAAAATATACAGCAGCCAAAGGCCCATCCACAAATCTTTGAAATGCAGTGTTGTATATATGACAAAATATTTGATAATAAATATATTCACTAGTAACAATTTTGTGCAGAAAAATATTTATTGTCATGAAAAAGTGTTATTGGGATATTACTAAATGGAAACAGTATTTTTAAAATTTTGTCCTTTATGATCCAATGTTAAACTATAATGTCTGGAGATACCACAAATTTAATAACTGGATTGTGGTGGAAGGGATTATAAGTGATTTTAAAAATACATTTTCTGAATTTGTACATGGTTTTTAACTTTTTATATGTCTAATATGCTCTGGTGTACTAAAAGAATAGAAGATGTACTAAAACTTTTAAATATATATAATTGTAGAAGAATCAATGAAAAACACAAAGCAGTATCTGCTTATGACATAGCTTTATGTGTAGAAAATACAAAAATTTTACAGATTAAACTATAGGAAATAAGAAAATTGAACATGGTTGCTGAATACAAAATTGATATAAAATATCAGTTATCTTTCTTATATTGGCTACATAAAACTAGAAAATGAAACTTTAAACATTTGATTTTTATAATGCTATCTAAAAGTCCCAAATAAATAGAAATAAAGCTAACAATAGATGAGTAAAGCAAAAATATCAATATACACACATACACAGAGATATAAAAAACATAAATAAAGGTATATAACACTTTAATGGTAGATTCATATTACAAAGAGTTCTTCCCAAATTGGCCTAAAATTTTAATATAACTGAAATAAACAATCCCAGGAGGTATTTTTTGTAGTAGATACTAATAAACTGGTTCTGAACTACATGGGAAATGCAAGAGTCAAGAACAAAAAAGGTAATCTTCACTAAGAACATTAACAAGTATATACTCTTTACATTAATTAAGACAATGTGGCATTGGTACAAGCATAGACAAACAGATGGAACAAAACTAAAATTTTAGAAACATGTACCCATATATAAACACTGGATGATATAGTTTGGATATTTGTTCCCCCTAAACCTCATGTTGAACTGTAATCCTCAATTTTGGAGGTAGAGCACAGTGGGAGGTGATTGGATCATGGGGGCATGTTTCTCATGAATGGTATAGCACCATCGCCTTGGTGCTGTCCTCACGA